CGCGCGGTGTGTAAACTGGGACGCTAAGGAAAATATGTATAACTGTATGCCAGAAATCATAAAAGCACGATGATGAAATTAGAGTATGCGCATATGACTCAATTGAGCTTTAAAGGAAACACTCTTGAACTACAGCAATATTATATAACTGAGGAACATGAAGGAGTTTTTACAATATAAAAGGAAATGCTCCTTTTATGGCCACCCCCAATCCTAAAAATCATTGGGGCAATACTGACGAAGGAAGGAATCGAAATCGTGTCGAATCAGTACGGACATGTTGCCATTGCCGCCCTCCGTTTTCATGCCCGAAGCAGGGTAAAGGGAAATGTATTAGTGGAAGAAAATGGTTGATCAATGTGTTTTGTAGGACGAGCGGCGACGCATCCGAAGGGAATTATTGCACTGATTGCAGCAGTAGCTTATAGGGTCTATATTGGTAACTACGAATAAATCCAGTGTCCTATGCAACAGGAAAAAGCAGGACATGCCTTACTCGGAATTTAAGGAGCACAACGATCATATTTAAAATTTCCCGTATTGTATACCAAATAACATGGAACTGTGTGTGTCCGTACCATAACATGAACACATTGAATGTATTGAACACATGGAACGCATGGCCACACACGGAACACATGACCACACATATATATGTATGTATATTGGAAGGGTACTACCCCCGAATGACGTCAGAAATGTACACATACATTCCCCTTCACCGCTTATCGTACAGCATAACATGAACACATGTCACACATGAACATACATATGTGAGAAGAATACTCATACAAGCCAAACCAGTCGTATTAATGATATAACACCGGAATATGCTGAAAAGATCGCACTGAGTTGCGTCACATGTGGTATAGTAGGGGCAGCAAATCTTAAGAATTTGTCGACATAACCATAATCCAATAATCCGAACAATAAGGAAAGTCGTGCGCACTATGACATAATTATAGACGCAACTGGGTCCCCCTGGTCCCATTAGTACTTCCGAACATAAGGATAGTACTACTTTTACTGACCGCGCTTCCACTACCACGCGCGGCGGTTCCAGCAATTTTCTCTCTGCTGCCATTGGTGCCTATTCCAGCGGTACCTCTGCCCTGGCTACTGTTAGTAATTGTGTACGTGCTGTCTCCAATAACGGTTCAAAATCTGATACCTGAGGTCCCCCGGGTCCCACCGGCCCCTCTTCAGGCGGAAGTGGTGGACAGAATGCTTCCGGTGTTCAGCAAACTACCAGCCTGCGCGAGAATGGTGCTGCTGCCGATGCTGAACAACATGACACTCGTGGCAGTCAAACTCCTGTTGGCCAAGTAGGTGCTGCTATAATTAATTCTGCCCGCAAAGGTGAACAGCAAACTGCTCCCGTTGTAGGCGTAAAGGACGTACAACCTGTTCATTCTGACGGCTTCCCCCGGTATCGCCACAGACGCAGTTGCTTCCGACACTTCCGATAGTGATATTACTGTGCAAGACAAGTACAGACAGCAGTTTCGGCGATGCCGGTCCTGGCGTTCAGCAACCTGATAACAGCCATACACCCCATGGTGGTCAGGATACTCCTAATACTAAGGATCTGCGCAACAATAAACCTATTAGTGCCACAGGACAGGATGCAAATGTTGATATGGTTAAGGGTGTTACCGGAGCAGATGCTACTGTAGTGGACCGTGGGATGGTCGTGACGGGTGCTTCAGTAGCGTGCACTGGCTTTGTTATAACAGGTAGTGTATTAATAGATGCTGTATGGGCGGGCGCTGATGCTCCCATAACGAGTGCTATGTAACAACAGGTGCAACCGCAACAGGTGCCGCTTTTATTGTAGCAGGTGTTAGTACCACCCCCGCCAGGTGCTCTTATAACAAATGTTCATATATGGGGTGCTCGTGTCGTCCCAGTGGGTGTGCTCATAACGCGTATTGGTGCTGTCCTAGCTGGTCATGTATCAAGAGATGCTATCGTAACGGACACAATCGTAACAGTTGCTATTAGAAAAGGGTGTTGGTGTTACCATGAGAAAGGAACGTATAGTGCAAAAATTCAGATACTCCATCTATTTGCTACAGTCGTGCACGTGACACATAACAAAAAAGTAAAACTTATATTGTTGGCACTTTTATATTTATTAGACCTAAACCCGTGAATATTAACAGTTTTATTTATTCATATTCTTTTACAGCGCACCCCCATTGTTTCTAAATTAGATGCACATTTAATACACCATTTGACGCATAATACTGCGATAGTAAAATTATGAATATATTGTACATACGGTTCACCAGTTACCTTGTAATTTGTATATAAGCCCTTACCTGAATGTTACACTTGACTACATAAAATATTCTTTAGCCATCATTCACAAGTTAAACTTTTATTTTCGTATGTGTAATATGAACCAAGTGTTATTTAATGAATATGGGTTCGTTGATCGGTGCTCCTGCAGGAAGCATGGTCATATACATTTCGCTCAAAATCACTTTTAAGGAGTGGAAGTAGCTTTCCTTTTTCTGTGTTTAGCACATATTACGATTATATCGTACATATATCGTGATTACATCGTGATTATGCCGCGATAAATGTCATGCTTACGCCATGATTATGTCATGTTTACACAGCTGTTCTATGGTAACCCCATTTCTCTTGTGCTTTAGCATTTCGTAGCACTATTTCTAGTGTGCCTCTTCTTTCTTTTTTTTTTTCTTTTCTTTTTATATTATCAAAAAATTGGAAAACTCTTTGGAAAGAGAAAAATACAATAGAAACAGTTGAATATCAGGGAGAAAATAATAAGGAACCGAATAAGATATAGTAGTAAAAATAGAATAGTGTAAAGCGGTAACCATTATTTGACACACTTGGGCAAGAAATTTTTGCTATCAAGTAGGTCATCTGACCACGCCATAGTTGAAATAAGGAATTTATAGTAAAACAGAAAAATTAGATTTTTCCTTAAGTGAATATTTAACGCTGCGCGCACAAACGGAAGGTGGCATCAAAATGATTCATTCGAAGAACCGTCGTTCGTGGGTGTACGCGCTATGTGTACCTCCCCTACTGCTGTACACTATGTCACTAGTAGGTGGACGTTTTGAGCAGCACGTTCCCTTTTTCTTTCTTTTTTTTTTTTTTTTATCATAACTTCCCCGCGTACGAAAGTGCAATTTGTCCCCTTTGTTACATATTTATCATCGCACATGCTCCTTACTTGCTCCCCCCTTTGCTTGGTCTCCCCCCCCTGAAATGTTGTCCCACTGCGTCTTGTGGCTTTTATTATATCACTCCATTTTACTCTGTTCTACTTTACCTCATTTCACTGTATTCCTATTTCACTCTACTCTTCCTCTTTGCAGAGTATAAAAGGGACAAATGAGGTAAGAACCTTCACAAGGACATACCCGTCCAGGCATGCAAGAAGTCTGTCTGAGCTGTCGCTGTATTTGGGTGATTGTTTACTCAGCGAGAATCAGTACAAGAATGGGAAGCATCACACTCCCAAAAAGGGCCACAATGATATAGATGATGAGTGGCGCTCACAGGAGGAGATTGACACAATGGGTAATGGTGCAGAATGGCAATTCCGCAGCGGGTTCGGCAGGAAGCAGCATGATTATAGAAGGCCCATCATGCAGCAAGGCAACTGGGTTGACAAGAAATGGAATGATTGGATCGGTAAGATGCCCTTTAAATGGGACGGTGGAGGGCAACGCAAATGGGAGGAGCGGGGAAATTATGGCAACCCTGAGGATCTGCAGCTTGACTGGTCCGTCGAAGACATAGATAGGGGGCGGAGACCGCAGCGACGTTATGGAGACTTTTCCGAACAAAGTTATGGAGCGCGCGAAATGCAAAACTCTGGTCCCCCTTACTCCAGCTGGAAGAAACATACCCTGGAAAGATATCAATCAAGGATTCCACACATTGACCCCCCTCAAGGCCTTCAGAGGAATCTTACTTACGACCAAATATTGAACATTCCGTACACAAATCCCTTATGGATTAGTAAAAGAAAGGCATTTATTTCATTTTTTTATCACGTGATGTATTTAGAAAGGAAGTACTACGATATGGTGAACTATCTAAACAGGTGGTTTTACAACCTAGCCGAAACGAATAATATGCCTGATGAGTACAAGTTAAAGTTGTGGGAAGAATCCAAAAGGGAGCTTCTGTATGACTTCGAATGCATCCGAAGGACATGTGAAAATTTATTTCGCAATTTTGTTAATAGAAAGAGAGGAAAATATATATGGAGCATACCATTTGAGAATCTGGTAGTTCGTTTGAACAAATTAGCACATGAAAGTGTTGTCCGAAACAAGGACAAATGGGTTAACATTTTGAGCGAAAGAGTAGAAAGCTATACAGCGAGGACAAACAGGAGGCATCTTACACATCGCAGATAAAATGTAGAAGTTAGAACGTGGGAAAAAAAAAGGGGGGAGGGCCCCTTTTTTTTCTTCATGTTCTTTCCTATAATTACATCCCACATGCGCCTAGGAGATGATTGGTTTGTTCGTTTTGGAAAAACCATGGTGAGCTTCTGCGGTGTTACAGTTTTTACTGAGTACAATGTCAACTGAGCATGGTCACGCCTGAACACTTGTGATGGCCTGCTTGTGCTTTCCACCTTGTCCATTTTTTACCGCATAGCCACCATATTGCGACGCACTCGTAAACCTAGTCGTCATCCATCTCGTGTCAATGACCTGATGCACACTCCACCTGAAACCCAATAGGTTAGCGTAATAACAGGACTTAATGAAGGAATAATAATTCTTCACTCCTTAAGGTCATGCTGACCAGAAAAGAATATGACAATTCTTAGCATGGTTGCATAGGCACTCACACACATGCCTATGCAACGCGCGCGTTCCGTGTATAAGAAGTTACGTTACAAGGGTGTCATATGGTCCTACTCCAAGTCACATAACATGCTAATAAGGACAAAATGGCCCTTTTTAAGGAAGTGTGCCATCGTAAAAAAAAAAAAAAAAAAAAAAAACCTCTCCACAGTATGCATCATATTGTGACCTATGTATATAATACCTGCTCCAGCAAACGATGCTGCTTTTCTCGCTGTGACATCTGGACAACACGTTATCACCTCCAGTCAAACGAAAAATCGGGGCGCGTCAGGCAAAGATGCTGACCGTCCCAGGAAACATAGTTGCGACAGCATGTTCTGCATAACCTATCACACTGTTAGCTGTATTATAATAATATTTTTTGTGCTGTGCGCTTCACATACTTTCACTGGTTATTTCAAAGTTGCCCCAAGGCAAAAGGGGATGAACCACAAGCCCCCCCTGCCTTTATTTTCTTTTTTCAACCGGGGAGCATTTCAAATGGTATTATATTTAAAGATAAATATTTGATACGCTCGTCAAATAAAGGAGGCAAAACATAGGGTAGTCACCTTTTCCATAAAACGTTGTCATATATATAGCGTTCAAGAAAAAAAAAAAAAAAAAAAGAAACAAAGAAACAAAGAAACAAACAATGGAAGGAAGGTCACTTCAAAGGAATTGCACACAATGCTTCATTTAATAATCTTTATAAAGGTACACTAGTACTGTGCTTTAGCCCGCTTTCTCGATGATACGAATAAATAAGAAAAAAAAAAAAAAAAAAAAAAAACAAAGAAACAAAGAAACAAACAATGGAAGGAAGGTCACTTCAAAGGAATTGCACACAATGCTTCATTTAATAATCTTTATAAAGGTACACTAGTACTGTGCTTTAGCCCGCTTTCTCGATGATACGAATAAATAAGAAAAAAAAAAAAAAAAAAAAGTACAACGCACATTTAGTTAAATGGGCAAGCAAACACTTAGAAATATGTGACCCCGTTACAATAAAGTAGTAATTCAGTGGACGAACAAATCGCAATGATGTTTTTCCCTGTATTAACTAAGAATACTAATAAACAGAAAGGAAAAAAGAAAATAATACAATATGCATTTATTTATTCATTCTTTTATACTAATTTTATTTCCATTTTATTTGATTCTTCCCTATACACCTACATATATATATACTAGTGCTGTTACAATGGTATAATTATCAGAAGCTTCTATATTACTGTGAGGAGTAGAAACAGTGGCATGCGGCATGCAATATACGTGCCATCTTACAGTATCCTATACCTATAACACATGATATTATCTGTGACGTCGTTTCTGTCTTAAAAAGGTAGAATAACGTTATTATTTTTTTTTTTTTCTTTGCTTTTGGGAATAGCCTATGAGAACTATGTTATCACATACTATACCTTTTATTGTTTAAGGAAGTGTAAAATACCTTACAAAACGCATGTAAGTCACATTTGAACTTTATGTTTTGGGGTATAATATATGTACCAAAAAAAAATTTTCAACATGTTTCCATAGAACATGGATTGAACGCAGGTTTGTATACGAATAGTGAGGCACATAATATTCATCATGAAAGATCTGTATTACTAAACCGTATAAGCGTCATATAGAAACGTAAGTTGTATGTACTTATGTAATTATAAAATCGTCTATTATAAAAAAAAAAATAAACTTTAAATATAAACCAAGAAACCCAGAACCCAAAATCTAAAACTAAGTACCCTGTAAAATTACATTAGCACTCACTTAATCTTTTTCCTTCTTGGTATTAAACCTATTACTAAGGAGCACAGATTTTTTCTTTGTGCTCAGTGCAAATAAATTTTTAAAACGTTGTTCAATAATTCTTTTTGGTGCTATACTATGGCATGCAAAAGTATGGTTCTAAAATCTCAACATTTATATAAATTATTTTAATTAATTATGTAATTATTGCGGTATCTTTAATTAAAAAAATTTTTTTGACAAATTACTTTTTTTTATTCGTTTTTTTTTTTTTTGTCCTGTTTATGTTCTCAGGATAAGACCTTTGTACTTAAATTTTTATATAAAGAAATATTCTACAGTGCCGTGTTTTCTCTATTGCTCTATATTCTTGCTTCTTTCCTACTATTTTATATTATTATTATGTCAGCAGTACATACCCGTGTTCTTAATTTTTTCAGTTACTTCCTGTACTATTTTATACAATGAACAAATACGGAATGATGAGTTCTATGTAATAATGATATATGAGTGTCCGCATACATAGTATTCACTATACTTATACTTGTAGTGGAGGGAAAATATTATTTCTTTTACTGCTCATGTTCCATACAAAAAAAAAAGAGGAAAAAAGGAGTTCTCTTCTTCTTTTCATTAAATAATTTATAAAGGGCAAAGGAAATATAAGAACGAATATAATTATATAATCTAATAGAACAGTACTGTTCCATTTTTTTTTTTTTTTTCTTAAATCCGGAAGAATTACTATATTAGAATCCGCGTTATATTATATAGAAAGAAAAGTAAAGCTGCAACTATGGGTTCGTATTTTTCCATAATCATCCTTATTTTATCTTTTGCTAATCTTCTAATCCATGCTTCAGAAGTAAGCTAAATCTTTAATATATAAAGAGAATGATACATATAGACATATATATTGTACTAATTACATTTTAGTAAATTGTGACTACAGCTTCAGTTTACGTGAGAATAATACTAAACGAAATTTTTTTTTTTTTTTCATTTCCTCTTTTGCAGCAGGAAGTAAAATTGGAAAATCCTGCGGATGTTGCTGTAAACGTCGCGGATCCTCCACAGAACAATGTACAATTAGAAGGAAATATAAAAACTCCCGAAGAAGGAGCATTACTACTAGGAGGAGAAGGGGAACAAACAGAAAAAGAACCCACGGAAGGAGATGTATCATTAGAGGAGAAAGCAGAGAAGGAAGAAACTTTGGAACTAGGTGAAATACCCAAAGAAGAAACTTTGGAACTAGGTGAATTACCCAAAGAAGAAACTTTGGAACTAGGTGAATTACCCAAAGAAGAAACTTTGGAACTAGGTGAATTACCCAAAGAAGAAACTTTGGAACTAGGTGAATTACCCAAAGAAGAAACTTTG